AAACTAACTTTTTCAATCCGCTAACAATTTGAACTCTAACCGCTATTCGCTAGTCTCAAACCGTTAAATAAAAATTTTACCGAATACTTTATTTATAACGGTTTCGAAATATATAAATTTACCAAACACCTATATTTAGCGGTTAAGGTAAAATCGCTAACCGTTACCCAAAAACCGTTATACCAAACGGGACCTAAGACACACACAATAGCATTTGTCTAATGTTACAAAAATATTGTTTGCGTAATTTTTAATGAGACAACTTGATTCCGAAAAGAGTAAGGCGTCGTCATGCATGATAGCACAACTTGACTGCATTTTTTTTTGGAGAGATTGGCTTAATGGGGGCTTGAATAAGATTAACTATTATATGTTGACGAAAATCCCAGATTGAGAATTGAATTGGAAAAGAGGTATGAGATCTGATTCAGGGCAAGAGTGGTACATAAAGAAGCAGTGCTTTTGTCAATCGCTTTGGACACTCGACTCCCTCATACGCCCGTTATTATCAGGTCTGAAATCAAAACCGGCAACCTTGGTTTTTCCAATGTGAAAAATTGACTTTCATTTGTTTTAGTTTTTTTTTTCAACTCATCTTTTCTTGTAGGGACTTCCAAATTACTGTAGGGATCTGTTCAGTAGGATCTCCAATGTTGATATTCAGCACAGGAAATCTAATATGTGTGTTGACTTTTATCTAAATTAGGTGTTGTTTATTTATGATGACTGCCCTTCGGGTCTTGATGTATATTTGGCTACCAGTATGACTGGGGCTGAATATCCCAGATATATACGTTAATTTTGCTATTTAATTTCATCTCATCCTTGCACCAAAAATAGATTCCCAAATTATTGATACTTAGCAAATTGGTGGTCCGTGACCCTTAAGAAGGCTACAAGGAGAAATAGGTGTTCGAAGTTTTGATCTCGTCACTCTCAGAGGTTTCGATTGTTTTACCACAATGTTCTCTTTGCCCTTATATATATATATATATATATATATATATATATAAACAAGTCCAGTGCGAACAAAAGGCGGCCAAATTTTGGGTTGATTCTTTTATCAATTTGATATCGTTGTTTAAAAATTTAAGTTATTTTAATTTGATTTATAAACATGAAAATTTTAAACTATGCCTCTGAATTGATATTTTTTTTGAAAATTAATAAAAGTTTTGTTGGGTGTATACAAAGGAATCTGTGGATTAACCCAACAAAAAATCATGTTCCAGAACAGAGAGAAGGTAGAAGGCAGTTAATGAAATTTGTCTTCATGTAATTGTGTGTTTTTTTCTTTTTCTCTCCCTAATGTTATTGGTCAATAGTGGAACCCACGGATAGCAGACATGGCAGAGACCCCAAATTCTCGGGTAAAAACCTACTTTTTTTTAGTCCCTCTCCTAACCAAATTTGAAGGTTTTAGTCCCTTACCTTATACTATAACACTTTTAGCTCCTCACCTTACTAGATTTGTAGGTTTTAACCCCTCACCTATTAAAATCAAAGAAAATAATTTTTATTTTAAATTGACTGTTAATTCTATTAGTTGAAAGTAGATTTTTATGCACTAACAGTTAACTAATAGTCAATTAATAAAATTAACAAAATATTATAAAATTAATTCTGTTAACCCTGTTAGCTAAAAAAAAGTTTTTGGTAGTTAACAGTTAATTAACAGTCAACTAATAAAATTAACAGTTAGTTAACAAAATTAATAAAATGTTATAAAGTAAGAGCTATTTCTTTAATTTTAATAAATGAGGGACTAAAAGTATCATAATATAATATGAAGAGGTAAAACTTACAAATCTAATAAGGTAAATAGTTAAAAATATTATAATAATATAAGATAAGGTAAGAGACTAAAAATAGGTTTTTACCAAATTCTCGTGTCCCACTACAACGCAAAATTCTCATTGGCCAGGAATGTGCGACAAGGATCATCAGGCACAAAATAGCAACCGTCCGATCTGAAATCTAAAACTTCTGGCCCCGACAAGAATATCAGAGATCCATGTAATACCAGTCTAAGAAAATGCGCATTTCAATATAGAACTTCTACTATTTGGGCCTTTTAGGAGTTTTTGGATTTTTTTTTTTGGGTTAAGGCCATCTATCGTCCCTCTACTATCAAAAATAGTGCATTCTAAACCTTCTACTATGGATTGGCTTCATGTCGTCCCTCTACTATTAATTAAGTCCACTTATCATCCCTCTACAATGAAAAACACCCAAATGTCGTCCCTTTGTCCACTGTAACTAACGGTGCTGTTTACTAATAGTTAAATGCAACGGTTACACCGGCTATCATGTCTTTTTTGCCCACCCTTTCTTGTGAGCCTCACCCTTATCACATCATCTCTCCCACAAATTTTTTTGCCTTACCCTAACTTCCTACTGCCTCCCCAACCCAACGTGGATCCCGCATAAGGCAATTATGGAATTTACAATTGATAATTTTTAAATAATAAAATATGAAAATCTTATAATTTGAGAAGATAAAGATGATAACTTT